TGACCTATAGGTATGTTTGGTAGAACATGCAATCCAAAGATAGCAGTGACATTTTCTAATGCTTTAGAATCTAAAATTTTCTTAGCCCCTCCATCTCCTTCCTCTGCTGGTTGAAAAACAAGAACTGCAGTTCCCTATTTAGAGTTTAGAAGAAAAAAAAAAATGAATGACGTCAGGTATCATTGAAGATAAATATGAAGAAAAAAATAGTAGAACGCAACACACCTGTATCTCCTTTTCATGCTCTTTGAGGATCTTTGCAGCACCGAGAAGCATAGTCACATGAGCATCATGGCCACAAGCATGCATCTTTCCAGGAACTTTACTCTTGTGCTCCCACTCCACCATTTCCTAAAGTAAGAGGTAGCCAAAAAAAAAAAAAATCAATACACACAATACACATATAGGCAGAGCTCTAACAATCTGGCCTCTCTATTACTAAGTGAATTTGAGTGGATGGAAAAAGTAGTCTTTTGGCATCTCCAGGTTACTCACAAAACAGAAGTAACATGCATTCTCAGAACTGAAGTTGAACAGTTCTAATAATTTAGGGAACAAATTGCTGGTACATATACAAACTGTAAGCTATGATGGCATTGGACGAGAGGAGAATAAATTTTAGTCACCTTCTAGTCAGAATCTATAAAGCACCATCATTCAAAACCATCTAAAAAGCGAATGCAATTATACATTGAAAAGAAAAGGAAATAAAAGAAGAATAAGAGATTTTATCAAGAATTCATATACCTGAATAGGAAGAGCATCCATATCAGCTCGTACAGCAACAAAGGGAGGTCGTCCGGTGCCTATAAAGCCAACAACACCGGTGACTGCGACTGGGTATTTATATGATACGCCCAATGAATCCAGTTCTCTTCTTATCAGCTCACTGGTCTGAAATTCCTCTTTACTCAATTCAGGATTCTCGTGAATCTTCCTTCTGATTCCGACCATCCAGTCAAAAACCTCGCGCTTCTTGGCAAAATTCAAAAATTCGGAGGACATCGAGGAGAGTTTGTTTGAGCTCCAAGAGGGGTCAGAGGAGATGAGTGTTGCAGAAAAGAAATAGGAGATGATGATCACCCTGACCCACCAGAAGAAACCCATGGTCGCTTTGCGAGTGAAGAGTATGGAAAGAAGTTGAGACAAGAACAACCAGAAGAAGAGGGTGGAAATCAGTATTGTTTTCCAAAAACCAAGTAACAGCATGACGAACGCGATGACGTGCAATATTTATACTGAGACTGATGTTTCGAACACGGTTGGTGCCGCTCGCCAACAACGAAAGGGAAGTCATTATTAGGTCCCAGATAAGTATGATTAATTACCACTAAATTATTATCATCACTAAGATAATTTGCAGATTGTAGGAACTGGAAAGAGCATAATTGTCCTTTAACTAACCTTAGTTAATAATTATATCAAATTTCAACGAAAATTCGGAGGAAGGACAGGATCAGTAAAAAAGATATATAAACATAATGAGACCAACAATAACTCAAGGAAGGGTGGGATCAGTAAAAAAGAATATAAACACCACATTTTTAACCATATTTGTTACCAAGAAGAAGGTCACCTGATCCTGGGTGTGTTTGGATTTTAATTGAAAAAAATTAATTAAAAAAAAATTGATTATTAGAATATGATGGTGTTTGAATAAATTTTCAAGAATTGATTATAATATTAATTTTTTAAAATGGAACAAATTTCAACTTATTCCAAATGAAATTTTGGAAACCAAATAGAGTTTGAAAAAAGTGGAGTGTTTGGATAAAATTTTTTAAAACCATGATTTTAAACCTAGAATTAATTTTAAAAGGGTATCCAAACAGGCCCCCCATAATTAGGTTTTTATTATCTTTAACCATATTTTTGAGTTAGTGATTTTTTTTCTAATACAAGATTATGGAAATTGTGTCAAAAAAGTGATCAAGTCATATTAGAACTTGCAAAATTTCTGTATCTAGATAATAGATTTTCAAAAATTTTAATATTTATGCTGTCGCTGAAAACTTGACCAGCAAATCTGTCATTTATTAATATAATTTAAAGATTTTATAAAATATAATTTATTAGGTAAAAGTTTTATAAAAAGCATACTTTTTTACGTTGGGTCATGATAATAATTTTTTAAAGATTATAATTATTTAAAAAATTAAAAATTGTAAATTTTGGCAAAAGTGGTGTTTTAAAAAAATAAGTAATTTTGGTCATCAAGTGCAAATAGATCCGAAAGTACTCCAGTGATTTCCCCTAAAGAATCTTGTAGTAGTTTTTTTTTTCTTTGGATAGGGGAGGATATTAAGCAGTTAAGATGTTCTGCTTGAGCAATCTAACTAATTTTGAAATAGGAGTAAGCACAAGGTGAAAATCATTTACATAAGATACAGCTTGTTTAGCGAGTATGTCTGCAACTTCATTAACATCACGCGAGATATTTTGGACTTCTATCCTCCAATCTTGAGCCAACAATGCTTGAATTTTAGAGATAACATCATTATTTGAATGTTGAGCTACCCTTTACCATTAACAAATTCCACTTCTTCAAAGCAATCAAATTCAAGAATCACTTGGTAGTAGTCAAGGTCTCAAGCAAACTTAAGGCCTCACAGGCACATCCAGAGCTTAGCAATCAATGGGTCATCACCATTCATGTTAAGCATGAAACTAATTTTAAATTCACCAAGTGAGTTTCGACAAGCACCACCACAACCCATAATGTTATTATGCATAGCAAAAGTACCATCCACATCTAACTTAAACCAGTCTGCATTCAGAACAATCTAAATGACACTATGGATAGGGACATCATGTTGTCCCCACACAATACCCTTCAATTGCTACAATAATCTTTGCAGGTGTTAATGATAGCCAAAGTTTGTGCATTAATGGTAGCATTTGGAGTAATTTTGTCTTGAAAAATTTTCTCATTATGCCTTCTCCAAATGATCTAGCAAGCAATGGCAAAGTATGCACACTAGGGAACACCATCTTTCTTCCTTGAAGGCTACACGTTCCATTGAACCACTCATTTATGTTTGCCTTAAAGAACGAACTTCTATGATCATGCTTAAGGATTTCCCTCTAGAAGCTTCTTGTGATAGGACAATCTCAGAGAACATAAAGAGTATTCTTGATAGCATCCTTGCAAATCTCACATTAATCATCATCATACATTCCTCACCTCTTTTAGCCTACTTTGATAGGAAGTTTGTTATGGTAAGAAAGCTATAAAAAAGTCTTACATTACATTGTTTTAGAACCTGCAACTTCCATATCTTCCTCCACATGGTATTAAGGACTTTTATGTGCTAAGCTAGAGAGTCATAAGCAATTCTGATTGAAAATTGATCATCTCTACTCTACTTTTATGAGACGTCCTGCCATATGTACTCAACAGAGTCCCTACTTTCACCTCCTCCTAAGACTTGATTCAGCCCAAATGTTAGAACCTAATCTCTTCCTATCAATTTTAGGAAGAAGATTCATGCCACATTTATATTTAATGTGAACCACCTAGACCTAAAGAGCATCCCAACGTCTAATAAGCCCCTACCCTAACTTCATATGAAATGCCTAATTCTATTAATGAGCATGTTTGATTTTAAGTCCTCCATGTGACTTTGGTTTGCAAACCTTGTCCCAAGCAACAAGATCATAGTGGTTTCTTCCTATAAGATGGAGAATGAGAGAATCTTGAAGTAGTTTAAAAAACAAAAAACAAATCCCTTTCATGGAGTTGAGCTTTTTATAAGGAAATAAAAATTTATAAAGTGAGATCTAGGAGAAAAAAGAGCATAGAATTTTGGAAGAATTTCATTAAAGTTTTTTAGATATGATAAAATTAAATCGAATCCCAAAACTTTTTTTGAAATTTTACTGTAAGCTTGAAGCATTAAAATGAAATAAATTCTCTAACTTAAATGATTAAAATGTCTTTCAATAATAATTAATATTACTGATATAATTAATTAACTTATAGTTTTTACAAGTAATACTAGTATATTAACAAGTTAAATTACAAGTTTTACAAGTAATATTAATATTAATAGAATAAATGTAATTTCTTGTTATTCTTGTAATATTATTTGAAAAAAATGTAACTTGCCTTATTATTTTAATAATATTACTCATAAAAATCATAACTTAACTTTTTATTATACCAATATTATTTGTAAAAATTATAACTTACCTTATTATTTTATTAATATTACTTATAAAAATTATAAGCTGACTTGTTATTTTAGTTATATTACTTATAAAAATAATAATGTTACTTGTAAAATCTATAGCTAAACTTATTATTTTATTAATATTAATATTAATATTATTTGTAAAAACTGTCAGTTGACTTATTATATCAATAATGCTAATTATAATTAAAGAATATTTGATCATTCAACAAATAAAATTTATTTCATTTTAATGCTCTACACTTGTAGTGAAATTTCAAATTTTTTTGAGACACAATTAAAATTATATCACATCCAAGCCACTTTAACGAAATTCTTCCTAAAATGTTGCTTGGACATTTTAAATAAAAAAAATGATTAAAGCATACTTTTAACCCTCTAATTTAATATAAATTTTAATTTAGTTTTTTAATTTTATAAATATTTTTTAAATTTTTTAACCTTAATATTATTAATTTTAAATAATTATTTATTGCGTGAATCATTATTATTTAAAAAAATTATGTTAATATGTCAACATTTAAAAATATTTATTAATATTAAAAAGTTTAATATAAAAATTTATTAAAATAAAATTATTAATATTAAAATTAAAAAATTAAAAAAATATTTTATAAAATTAAAAAATTAAAATAAAATATTATATAAGATTGAAGAATTAAATATATATTTAAATTAAATAAAATTATATCATTCTCATTTTCAAGTCATCAGTTGAGTTATTTTAGTGGTAATTAAATTGAACTCTTTTTAAGATTTAAATCTCATCCTCATCAGTATGTATAAGGAAAAGGCGGCAGAGGGATGGAAAGCGGCGGTTAAAGACGGGGAAGAGAGGGAAACAGAAAGAGTCCACTCCGAAGACAAAAGAGAGCGAAACGTGATAGACTTGAGAGGGAAAGAGCGCTGGCGACATACAGGAGAGATCGGAGAACACAAAGAAAACTGACTGGAAGACGCCGGAGAGATTAAATTAGAAAAAAAAAAAAAACGTAGAGAGACTATTTTCCTTTTCCAGTTTCTTCGCTTCATCTCTGACCTAGTTAAGAATGATCCTTCATGGATAGTATACCAGTGTCTAATTAGTCAGATTTAGACTCTTTACCTCTTTCGATTAATCTATTTTATCGTTTTCTGGAGATGGATTCTTCTTGCCCATGAATGTCCATTGCTGGTGGAATAATGGGGGCGTATTTTTTTTCTTTTTTTATCTTTTCTTATCTTGTTTGATTTATTTCACTTTGCATGCGAACTTTTAATCCTTTCTTTCTTCTTCTTCTTCATCATCATCATCTTTTTTGGTCCAAGAGATTTTTAATCCTTTCACATTATATGTTATCCTTAGGTTTTTAGACAAAGTCAAAGTCACCCACTCCTTATAAATGAATTAATTAATAATTGTTATATCTTATTTTATTTTCTTGATTTCTTCTTTTATTTTTATTTTTGCATGTGATTGGTCAGGTTGATCAAAATGTGTTCATGTTGTTTCATCACAGTCATTAATTTGTTATTTGAATGCCAATGTGTCTTTTTTGTTTCGTTGCTGATTCTTGAAGATATTTATTTGAACCTTCATACGTGTGTGTGTGTGTGTGTGTGTGTTTGTTATGTGAAATGTGATTTTTGCGTCTTGTGAGCACATTGTGTGATGACAATGATTTCGGTAGGTTCAAGGCCAAAATTGGCACAGTTGATTATCGTACTTTTCCTCTCCTCTTGCTTTGGAATTTATTGAATTCATTTATCAACCTGCTTTTCTGCAGCGATGACAGAGAAACGAGAGAATCCCAGACTTAGAGAAAGGCAAGGTAATCAAAGACTGGACAAAAAGAAGAAGCAAAAAATGGAATCTATGGATCGTATTTCACAATTGCCTGATCATGTGGTACATTACATTTTGTCTTTCATTCGATGTCCAAGGGAAGTGGCTCGCACCTCCATTTTATCAAAGAGATGGAGAGAACTATGGTACTCCTTTTCCAGTTTGACATTTGACCAACGCGCATTTAAAGGCAGTGATTTTATGATGAGCGGCTGTTTTTTAAACTACGTGGACAATTCTCTAAAACTCTACCTTGAAAAAAATATAGGCCTAAAAAAAATTGAGCATACATATGGTCTCCTTTGATGCAGAAGTTATCATTCATATTGACCATTGGTTAGATTTAGTCATTGAGAAAAACATTAAAGAGCTGATATCAATATTGACACAAAGGCAAACATGCGATATATTTTACCTGAACATGTCTTTTTGACGGAGTCTCTCTCCCAACTAAGGTTATGTGGGTGCGAGCTGACTAGATTTGACAACATAATGCTTCCTCATCTACAAAAGCTTTGTCTGCGGAAAGTGATGTTAAATGAGCAGATAATTCAGAATCTGATCTCAAAATGCAAGTTTATTTATGATTTAAGACTCATACATTGCTCAGGTTTGAAGGAATTGTGGATCTGCGATCGTATTAGGCTGAATAGAGTTGAAATACACCAGTGCATTCAACTAAGAAAGGTGGAGCTTGATTGTCTTAATCTTCACACATTTTGGTTTCATTGTGAGAAATCAACTCCCTGCAAAGTTAGTTTAGCTAGCTGTAAATCTCTGAAAAAGTTGACATTAGGGTATCATCAAGTGAAAGATGACTTTTGTGAAAAGAGCAAGTTCTATGATTTTCCCCTTCTTGAAGCGTTGGATCTAAGCACATTGGATAGCTTGAAGTGCATTAACATTTCAAACCCGCAGCTTCAGAAGCTTGCCTTGAAAGGATGCAAGAAAATGAAATTTGTTTCTATAAATGCTCCAAATCTTCGGTCATTTGAGTTTCAGGGTAAGAAGATGCCCCGCATTGAAATGCATCCTTGTTCCCTTAGGGATGCCAAGCTTTCTTTCGAACCTATCGATAAGTCTAGACCTATAATGTTTGAAAAGCAGGGCTACTTTCCCAAGTTGATGGATTTTATCAGAAAATTTGACCATGAAGGCAGCTACAAATTGGTTATCCGATCCAAGAAGGTATTCTTCTTCAAATATCTGTTATATTTTGGTTCTGTTTTCAAGTTTCATGCCAAATTATTATTTCTAATTTTAAAATAACTTTAAAATCGCATTTTGTTTTTCTCACTTGTTTGCTTGATGCAGAATATTGTCATTTATGAAAATTTGGATAGAGTGTTGCTTCCCGAGCTCCCCAACCTCAGCATTGACATTCTCTCTCCATTGGTATTTATAGATCGGTTCTATAGTTTGCTGGGTACATGTCACCCTGAGACTCTCTGCATGATTTTTCCTTCAAATAGAAAGTTCCCAAGGGTATTACGGTTATCATGTTCACATTCATATTTTGTGTTCCTTTATATAGATATTGTTGATTTGTTGTAGCAGAAAGCATTTGCTAACTTCTTTTCCTTTTAATGTCAATGGCATTATTCCAGTTAGTACATGAAAAGATGAAGAATAGAGAAGGAAATTCAAGCTGTTGCAATTATTTCACTTCATCTAATAAATGTTGGCGGCACTTCTTGAAGGACATCAAGATTGAGGATTTTGGAGATGCTAACAACAAATGGACATCTGCCTGGCTCAATCGGTTAGCGTGTACGCAAACGGCATTGCCACTTCGTTTGACTACCCTTAGATTATATTGGAACGGTTTCAGACATGGGGAGAGACCTGAGAAGACATAAAATACATGTCTAGAAGTGTTTGGTTGGCAAAGACATGGTTTTAAGGATGTCAATTTATGGCATATTACATTGCGGTTTCATGGGAGGATTATTATCTCCATTGAGCTTGATATCTGAATTTCATCTGCCTCAGTTTCTATAAAAGAAAAAGATTCTCAAATGTGAAAGCTGGCATTTTTCTCAGTGTCCATAGCAGTTCTCATCCACCTGAATGCTTGCCTTTCTTTTTCTAACATTATTTTTGAGTATATCCTTTTAAAAGGACAAAATGAAATTCCAGCTTATGTGTCTTACTTTAGATTGAATCAGATACTACGCCAAGTCCTTCTAGGCTTTCGTTATTGTAAACGAATCTGAATCGTTGCATATTCCAACCTTTTGTCGTTTATAGCCCCTGTGATAAGGTTATTCAAGTCTTAGCGTTTTTGTTCTTAGAAGTCATGTTTCTTCCCGTGTTTCTAATATTTGGAAGAAAACAGTGTTTTTTTTTTAAATGATAGAAGCATGGAATAACTATGATAATGTATCTTTTTGATTTTTTGAGAGAAAATAACTATAATAATATATTCGATGTATATGGTTTCTTGGTATAAAATGAAATAAATCGTAAGGACTTGATTAATGTTTATTTAATATGTTTTATATAATTGAAAAAAGGCAAAAGGTTAGGCCAAGCCTGACATCCGTGAAGCTCTGCCCGAATGTAATAAAGTACAATTTTTGTAAGCTCAATCTTAAAATTTGTTGGACTTTTTCAAGTAAACTTGTCAAGCTTAGTTCTACTTACGTTTCTACATAAATTTTGGTGAAGAGTATAACACTTATTTTCAGTGTGAAGTAAAGAGATAATAGCCCAATTTTGAGCATATTTGGGTAACTTGTCCTCAAATAGTTTTCTATTTTTTAAAATAAAATAATAAAAAAATTATTTGGTGATATATTTTTAAAAAGTGTTTTAAAAATTAAAAAAATATAATATAATTTGAAGAAAAAAATGAAAATAAATTTTAAGTGTTTTAAAATTATTGTTGTAAAAAGTAAGAGAAAATGATAAAATAATTATTTTCATTATTTTTTATTTTTAAAATATATTTTATAAAATATCAATTCTCAAACAATAAAATAAAATATTTTTAAATATTTTTTTGGAATAAGAGATTTTTTAAAAACACTTGACTGATTTGAAAAGGGAAAAACCAAAAGTAACTTTTAGATATTAGTGGGTATATATGAAAAAGATCCACAGGTCCGCAATATATTGGCACGTTTTACTCTACGTTTTTCTTCTATTGCAAATTTAAACCGTTTAAATGTGATTTATACTTTTAAAATTATTAAATTTATAGTTTTAAAAATTATCAAATTGCAGACTGTAAAATAAATGCCCCCAAAAAGACTATACAATAAATATTCTCCTAGGAATTTAATCTTCTTCTTCCTCATTTTTTGCCATCGAATCCAATGAATTACTAATTACTAATATCTGACTCTTCATTAGATGCTTTTATTTTTTTTCTTTTTTGGTTTTTCACATTAGATGTTTTTATTTACTACTAAAAGCAAGTGAAATTCCTAGACACCGCAGAGAGTCCTGAAATTGGGTTGCCTATTTATATCTATATCTATAGCCATGGCTGCACTGTAACGCTGCTACTGTAAACAATGTGAATCGTTGCTTGTGTATTCTAATCTTCTCCACCCCTCTTTCCAAGTTTTATAGTCCCTATGTTGAGGTTATTCAATTCCTAAGCCTTCTTGTTCTCTTCAATTATGTTTCCTCCTGTGCACCAAATGCTTTTGTTCTCATCGCTATGCTAAGGAAGACAATTCAAGATTTCCAAATTGAGGTCCCTAAAAACATATGCATCCTTAAAACTCCAGTCCTTGATTTATTGGAGTAGATATATAATCTGTCCGCTGTAAACAGTTTATAGGATCATGCTCCTATGAATAGTGATGGGACCATGGGGAGGAAATGGCGGATCTAGTTTATGGACATTGTACAGACTTTATTCAAGTTGTTTATGATAAACATGGTGAACCTTTCAAAGCTGACAAACATGGAGGAATTGGAGGAGACAAAACTCATGAGGTCAGTTCAGTATCTGACTATCATTCTATGACAGCAACACTACTTTGATTCTTGAGGAACATTTTTTTTTATAGGCATCACAAGTGTCTAAGAGGAAGATTTTGTTCTAACTTGACATATGTCTGTTGTCCACGATATATAAGATGGGGATTAACTAACACTAACCTTCATTTTTCATGTCCATCAGATAAAGCTTCAGCTGCCAGATGAGTTCCTGATTGGTGTCAGCGGTCATTATTTTCCATTTGGCGGCGCCCTGGTTATTCGATCACTGATATTTAAGAGCAACGAAAGGACATCTGGCCTATATGGTTATGAAGAAGACACATTATTTACCTTTTCAAAGGAAGGAGGCAAAGTTGTTGTAGGGTTTAAGGGACGAGGTGGAAGATATTTGGATTCAGTTGCCTTCGCTGTCTCCTGAACTATCAAAATCTGCTTCAGAAGTCAAAGTGCTTGGATAGGTTAGAGAAACATGAAATTCAACTTATGTTTCAGCTCAGTAAGAATGAACTAGGAAATCTTATGTTGTTGGTGTCATAGCTTTAGGAGTGTTACTATACTGAAATTGAGTGGGTGCATCAATGTCCTCCAGTTATACGGTAAATAAAGAGTAAGTATTCGTTGTCATCTTCAGGTCAAAAAGTATTCATTATCATCAAGTTTGTTGTGAGAGAGAAGAGTTTATTGTGAAAGAGATTCAAATCTGACATTTATCTTATAGATGATGCACTAAGCCATCCAATTGTGTTGCCTATATGTATGTATGTTATGTATACAAGTCTCGGTTAACGTGAGTTCTCGAATTAATAGCTAAACTTTAACGCTGCTTCTGTGACAAATCTGACTCGGTGTTTATTCCATTTTGTTCTTCATCCATCTTTACAAGCTTATAGCCCTCATGGTAAGGTTGTTCGACTCCTGGGGTTTTCGTTCTTATCAGTCATATTTCCCTGTTGCGCATCTACTGTTTTGTAGATAAATAGAATTATTGTTTTTTCAATTCTCAACAGTTGTTTCTATTAGGCAATTCAAGATTACTAAATAAAAGTTTCTACTTGAGTAGATATACAATTTGAGGTCCCTAGTTTTCCTTTGAATCTATAAAGAAGTTAAGACAAATCAAGATTGCTAAATAAAGTTTCAATTTGAGCATTCAACGTTCCTAAAAAATACGCCTCCTTAACACTTTGGTCCTTCATTTATTGGATTAGATATAATCTGTTCATTGTAAACATAAACATAGTGGCTTATGATGAGCATGGTAAGCCTTTCAAAGCTGCCAAACATGGAGAATTTGAAGGCTTCAAAACTCATTAGGCTAGTTCAATATCTGAAAAATTTGCCATTCTCTGACAACAACCCTATTTGGATGCTTGAAAGATATTCTATCAAGGGGAATCACTTTTGTGTCTAAGATGAAGATTTTGTTCTAACTATACTTTGACCTCAAAAGGAGGTATCTGGATTAACATAAAACTTTGACACATTTTCCATGATGACCAGATTAAGCTGCAGTACTCAAATGAGTTTCTGATTGGTGTCATTCTAATTAATTATTACAGCTATACTCAAGTTGATAATGTGAACAAAATTCCAAAACGCTTTTGGAGCAACTGATTCTATGCAAAATTAGAACGTCTTAAGGTGTTTAACTAGAATTGGTTGAATTGGTTTTGTTTATCATGATTCAAATGGTTAAATTGATCACTTTTCATTATCACTAATACCAAAAATCATACAATAAAATGGTCTTCCTTGTTGCATGAGAGAATCTCAAAATGCCGTTAGGAGAGAGATGCTAAACTTCAAGGTCAATGTGCTATTTTATAATGCAAAAGTAACTGAATGTGATTGTAATGGAATCTTATTCTGCATATTAGCGCGTAAGTTTTGTCTGGTATATATTCAATATAAATATTTTTAAAGTCTAACTGACACTATTCCCAAGTTATAAACTGTGACTCATTCTCAAACTCTATATAATATAGAGAACCTGCACTGGTTTGCTTTAATAGTGGTTGATATCTCATAAAATCAATTTGTGCACAGTTTCAATGACCCAAATTTAGTCTCTTTGTTTTGCCAAAAAGACAATTTTGTCTCCTTCACCTGAGAGTGCTCCACTGAAAAGTGGGATGAAAGATGACAATTTCAAAGACTCAACCTTCCACTTCTTTCAAAGAATTTCTTCCCTTAAAACTCACATGAACTACACCGTTGTTAGCTACAGCAAGATTAATTTTTAGTATGAAAGGCCTTGGATGACAAGAACCGCTGAATCATCCATAACAGTTGCGAGCGAAATTCAACAACCGTCAAAGAAATTATATTATCCGACTGTATAACTAATCTAGAGTTACTCGTTGTGTCTCTGTGGTAAGATAGGGTTATTAGGAAGAGATTCTAAATCCACTCCTTTGTTCTAATTCTATCATGTACAAAAAAGGGGGGGAAACAAGCTCAACTTCCCAAGTCTCCTGCAATAATATGTCATTTCCTAAAACCAACTCCAAAATCTTGAGTTGCTTAAGCAATTAACAAGTCACATGGAATCAAATCCTTGGAAAAACCACTGTCTACCAAATTATAAGCCGCTTCATGTTGGCCCTGCAAATTATAAGAATTCCTAGATTCTCCAAAAGCCTGTTCAACTTCACAGTTCGAAGTTCCCAGATAACAATAAAGCATCACTCAAAACATTGACCTTTTTTACTCTCATTTTCTACCCAAAAAAAAATTGCATTTAACCATTTTTCCTAACTTCTCACTTGTACTATTGATGGAGCAACCTATATTCATTCATTCAGCAGCATCCATAAACCATCACCAGTTTAATCTGCAGGACCCAAATGAGTTCTTGATTGGTGTCAGTGGTCTTTGTTGTCCAGTCATTCGGTCAGAGAGATTTAAGAGCAACAGCAGAACCTATGGACCATAGGAGTTGAAGGAGCCACAACATTTACCTTTTCAATGGAAGGAGGCAAAGCTGTATGGTTTCAGGGACGATGTGGCTGGTATTGGATTCAATTGCCTTCACTCTGTCTCCTGAACAACTAAAAAACTTGCTTCAGAAGGTGCAAAAGTGCTGGAATAGGCTTTCAACCTCTGCTTAAGAGTCTTCAGCCCCCAACTCTGTCCAGAAAACCATCGGAAATTAAATTTATGTTCTAGTTTAGTAAGAATAAAGAGAGTCTTGTGCTGCTGGTGTCATAGGAGTGTGAATGTACTATAAATGAATGAATGTATCCATATCCTGTAGTTATACCCAGAATAACAGAG